CAGAAAGTTGGAGGTTGCTGTGAACGTGATGCCATGGCACTCTACCCAGGGGGATAGCTTGAGGCTCCGTCTCAAAAAAAAAAAAAAAAAAGACTTGTTCATGAATGTTTATAGCATTTTTATCTATAATAACCAAAAATAACAGGGAAAACCCTCATTTTCATCAATCCATGCATAGATAAACTGTGGTGTATCAATATAATAAAATACTACTCCGTGATAAGAAGAAACAACTACTGATTCTGCAATGCCACAAGCGTATTGCATAAACATTATGCTGAGTGAAAGAAGCCTGAGGCGAAATGCTATATATTGTGTGCTTCCATTTATGTGATTTTCTGAAAATGGCAAAACTATGGAGGCAGAAAACAGATGAACGGCTGCCAGGGGCTGAAGGGAGAGATAAGAGTGTGACTACAAAAGGCCACAAGAAACTGTTTGGCTTCATGGAGTACCCTTGGGCTGGGCGCAGTGGCTCATGCCTGTAATCCTAGCACTCTAGGAGGCCCAGATGGATGGATCCCTTAAGCTCAGGAGTTCGAGACTAGTCTGAGCAAAAGTGAGACCCTGTCTCTATTAAAGATAGAAAAACTAGCCAGGCATTGTGGCAGGCGCCTATAGTTGGGAGGCTAAAGCAAGAGGATCACTCCATTCCAGAGTTTGAGGTTGCTGTGAGCTATGATGCCACAGCACTCTACCCAAGGTGGCAGAGTGAGACTCTGTCTCAAAAAAAAAAAAAAAAGAAAAAAGGACAAAAATATCCCATAGCTTAATTGTATATGTTTGTCTAATTTTATCAAACAGTACACCTGCAAGGAATGAGTTTTATGTGATTTTTACTATATATAAATTACACCCCAGTAAACCTAACTTTAAAAATATACAGCCTCAACAGAACATGACTAGGATGCTATTTTTAAATGATAGAATAGTTGGAAAACCAGAAAAAAATAAGAGGGAAATTAAAAATGTGATAGTAGGGTGGCGCCTGTGGCTTAAAGGAGTAGGGAGCAGGCCTCATATGCTGGAGGTGGCAGGTTCAAACCCAGCCCTGGCCAAAAACTGCAAAAAAAAAATATTTTTTTAAAGTGATAGTAGAACTGAAAAACCTAATGGAAGGACTGGAAGATAAAGTTGAAGATATCTCCCAGAAAGTAGAACAAAATAAAAAGATGGAAAATTGGGAAGGGAAAAAAAATAGAATAATTAAAGGGTCAATTCAGGAGGGATAAAATCTAAACAATATCCATTTTGGAAACAAAGCCAAGAGAAAATAAGGGAGGAAATTATTCAGAAAGTAATTCAAGAAATTTTCCAGCACAATACACATAAATATTTTCATACTAAGATTCATTATTGTAGAATAGAGGAACACTGGAGATAAGTCAAAGGTCCTAAACGCCTCCACAGAAGACAAAAGAAAGGTTTCATACAAATGGATTAAAAATCAGAATAGTATCTGATTTCTCAAGTTCAAGACCAACAGTTATAAGGCAAGAGAGCAGCGCCCTCAAACTTCTGAAAGAAAATAATCCCTGATTAGATTTTTATTCCCAGGCAAATAGCAATTAAGAGTGAGCACAGAAAAAAAAAAAAAAAAAGACTTTTGGATATGCAATGACTCAAAACAATCACCTGCCGTGAGTTTTCTCTCACAGACTTCCTGGAAACATGTTCCTTGAAAATGTAGGAATAAGTAAAGAAAGTAGAAGACAAAAGAACCAGAAAACAGGAAATTCAAATTTTAAAAAGTAAAGAAAATTCCTATCATGATGATAGGGGAGATTCCAGGACAACAGAGTAGAGCGGGTCAGAGGTCTCCGGGAAAATAAAATAAGAGAACACTTAGACCCTGGGGAGAGTCCAGGAGGTTAATAATGGTAAATACATTTAATAAAAATCAAGCAATGAGAAAATAAGACAATTACTAATTCCAAGGAAATCAAAAAGTTGTGCAGTAAAGGAGATACAAAATCTTACATGGCTCAGCAGTGCTGTGACAAGGTCAACACCGGTTACTGATCTTACCAAATTAGGGAAGTGTGCTTGGATTGGTGGGTGGTGAGGGTGAAAAAGAACTACAAACTCACCTTTCACAGTGTGTAGTCTGTAGAGCTCAAAGCTGAAAAATCTCCAAGGAGCTACACAGACATTGGGATTTGGTCATAGGGATATAAATACTAAAAAAAACACAGCTAAAACAGTTGTAAATTCCTGAAAGTGGGAAATGAGAGGAAGAAAGGAGTTGGGGATAGATTTTTTTCATAGCAAACCCTGAACCATCTATTTAAACTATGGCAGGTATCGTGATCTCAAATAAATAAATAACTACAATTTCACTCTATCCACACTCTAAGCAATATACCATCAAACTCATTTGTTCAACTTTTGTTTCCATTTACATCATAAGAGAGAAATTACAGTCCTGACGTTTTTCAGAACATTCCAAATAGCTGAGCATATCCATGTTGTGTGAATATCTATGAATCCAACCTTCCTCATAATCTCAAAAACCCAACATGTCTAGAGGTCTCCACGTTTCTTGCCCATTGAGTTACAGAAAACCAGGGGCTGACCTCCATGCATTGCATCAACGCGGATCTTCAGTTGGCCGGGCCCAGTCAGCAAACTCTTGATGGCATTAAAGTCAAAGATGGTTCGAAGGAGGTTGAGATAGATGTCCACGGGGTCCACTATCTCCACTAAAGATAGGAAAATAAAAGAAAATGTCAGTGACTGTATCCCCAGGGAAGATACTTGGAAGCATAAAAAAGAACCACTACCCTACCCTAATAGCATGAAATTCTAACAATTCCATCATTACCTCACATGGTACAGAAGTAAACCCTCTGTGTATAGACAAAATCACAAGTCAAATCACAATCTAAATACTACAAACTTTTCACATGCTAAATTCTTTGCAAGTGAAAAATTGTACACTAGAATAAACTAACATAAAAATGAGCCCTGTTACCTCTGCCCCCACCTTTGTTCTGCCACCCCCTCTTCCAAACAATGTACACATCTCAATGCTAAGAGACATCTTGGCACATCCAGCTGCCTTCCCTGGGAGAGTTGTCCAAAGAATGACTCAGCTGGTCTGAAACAAATCAAGGAGTGACCTAAGAAGTGACCCCGATTGTCCAAATGCCATTGTGCCTAACAGAATCAAGTGCAGAATTGGTGATGAAGAATATATTCCTGAGTTCGCATGAAATCTTTCATTCCCAAACTAGTACCCAATTTCTGGGTGAATGGCAAATATCTATAAATACCCATTAAACACAAATGCTCACCAATATCTGGCATCACCCAGGGACCAAGAATCCAAAATAAGTCTTCTCCATTTATTTGACATACTAACAACCCAGAATACATCCCATTTTTCAAACTTCACCATCAGTATATAATTAATACTCTGAAAGCATTTTTCCTACTAGAAGTAGTAAAAATTTGATTTTTTAGGCACTAAGATTTTCCCAGGAACCCTGACTGTTAACTTTGTAATTAATTTTGAAACTTATGAATACTATTTTGCAAGTTTTTCAAATACATAACTGCTTTGCAATTCTGACATATTTAAACCTATATTGAAGAAATTACCAACCTATCTTCAATCATTTTCAATAAATCCAGGTGCAACATTTAATGGATGAAATTCTAATGTCTGATATAAAATTATTCCTTCATCTGGTCAAGGACACATCTAAAAATACATTTCCTTTAACTTAAATTAATGTAGTATTTGTGTCAAATATAATACAAAGGCATACTAACCTATAATTATAAATTAATCCACAGTAAAAAAATTGTGAAATAAAAGGTTGCTCCCTGAATACTATACAAGTTTCATTTGACATTATGATATAATATTTTTGGCAATTTTATTCTAGTTCTTCAGTTCTTCAACCATTTGCCTAAATACATTTAGCTTTACAAAAAAATAATACAAACAGAAATGTGCAAAACAGGGAAGCAAAAAGTCAGTGAGAATTCAAAGTTCACATGTTCAAGCTCAAATAGTTCATGTTCTTGGCTCGGCGCCTGTAGCTCAGCAGGTAGGGTTCCAGCCACATACACCAGAGCTGGTGGGTTCGAACCCAGCCTGGGCCTGCCAAACAACAATGACAACCAGAACCAAAAGACAGCCGGGTGTTGTGGTGGGCACCTGTAGTCCTAGCTACTTGGGAGGCTGAGGCAAGAGAACCATTGAGGTTGCTGTGAGGTATGACACCACAGCACTCTGCCAAGGGCAACATAGTAAAACTCTGTCACAAAAAAAAAAAATAGTTCATGCTTTTGACACTTTAAGGTTGTAATGCCAAGGACTGATTTGTTTTCAGTCAACTCAAGATTTGCTTGTTTCAACATCTGAAACAAAGAATACAGCAAATATATTATCTCAAATGATTATCTCCAAATTTTTTCTTGGGAGCCAGGGAATCCCTCCACCTACTTCCTGGGTATCGTTAGTTTAGAAAATGTATCCAACTAGCAATGTGGCTGCAGCAACGAACCTGATGAGCTCACCAAAGATTTGGGTCTCTTGGATAACCATAAAAATTGTGGAGATGAAAGGAAAGGGAAGGGAAAGGGAAAGTGGAAGAGGAAGGGAAAGTGGAGGGGAGGGGGGAAAGCGAAGGGGAGGGAAAGGAAAAGGGAAGGGGAAGGAAAGAAAAGAGAAGGGGAAGGAAAGGAAAAGAAAGAGAAAAGGAAAGGAAGCTTCTTCCTGATAGCAAAGCCTGATTTTTCTCAGTCATTGTATAGCCCAGTCCTTCCAAACACATGTAATCAAGCATGCTCAAATCACTGTGTTTCTGTAACACATCCTCACCTCCAGTTGTCTAGCCATTCCACATGTATGCATGCATATTCATGTGCACGCTCCAGCTAGATTAGTAAAAGCAGAGACTGTTGCTTCCAGTGAGCATCACATGACTTTCAATATCTGCACACTGAGCAAACAATAGACTCAAAACTTTTCAAGAAAAATTTGGTAGCCTGGGTCCAACACTGTGACCCCCAACACAATCCATTTTAAAAATTTCTCTGTCCCTAAAGTATCAAGAGGCCATGTATCAGGTATCGTTTTGTGTCTAAGGTAAACTACTTGTCAAATGATGATACCACCTTAGCAGAAACGGGATTCAAGCTTAGAGGAGCACGAACAGAGCAAAACGTGTTAGTTCTATTGCTACTTGAATGTCTTCCAGGAAAAAAGCAACAGGATAAAACGGGGGGCGGGGGGCGAATGATGTGTACATACATGGTATTAATGCTGTTAGTATACGTTTCAAAATTAATCTCTAATATGAAAAGCTACATTCTGAGTCCTTTAGAAGTTGTATTCCCTTTACAACATATTTTTTGCCATTTTCCTTTTGTTTTTTTATTTTTTTTTTTTTTTTTTTTTTTGAGACAGAGCCTCAAGCTGTCACCCTGGGTAGAGTGTCATGGCATCACAGCTCACAGCAACCTCCAACTCCTGGGCTCAAGCGATTCTCCTGCCTCCACCTCCCAAGTAGCTGAGACCACAGGCGCCTGCCACAATAATGCCCAGCTATTTTTTGGTTGTAGCCGTCATTGTTGTTTGGTGGGCCCCAGCTGGATTCCAACCTGCCCGATCAGGTGTATGTAGCTGGCGCCTTAGCTGCTTGAGCCACAGGCGCTGAGCCTGGTTCTTTAATTCTTGAACTGCTTGCATAAATATGTTTGGTAGTTACTGAATTCCTTTGTAAAATCTCCTAACACAGAGCTTAGTATACAGCAGGGGATCAATAAACTGTGCATTACATTAGGCTGATCTGCACGGTTCTGGCTTAGAAAATGAACTCTTACTTTCCATGAGAAGTTTAATAACCGCACTGACCTGGTAGGTCTCTTCTTAGCTATCTAAGCTATCCCAGAATCTTCACCTTAATTACTTAGAAAATAAAAAACAAGTTTTTACAATTCACAGCCTATTCTTGGAATGCTCTCCTGGATTCAGCCAAGAAATGTTTCCTAGGTTATAAATGACACAGAGTTTGAGAAGTGATTTTTAAGTCTCCAGTTCTGAATATCCTGGCTACTCTCATTTCTGTTTGGACCACGTTCAGCACCGGCATATTTATCAAGACTCACCCGAGATTGGTAATTCAACAGTTTTCATGCGTGCACTTCCCTGCAGAAACAACAGTCACCTCTGTCAAAGAAGTATTCTGACTTCTTGAAAACATAATTGCTCTATTACCTCTGAATGGTTTGAATTTGTTCTCCAGATCAAATTCTTGTCTTCCTAGTCGAGACAGATCAATTCGAAGATCAGGACATATGGCATATTCCTCGATTGTTTTGCTGATCTGATAGATTTTGTCTGAGACAACATCTGGTGCAGGACCTAAAATGTGAATACCAAACAGACATTTTTTTAAACGTCTCAGGAATTTCAATCAGAGGAATGTTACCATCCTCTCCCACTACAGGAGAGATTCATCTGTTCTCTAAACAATGCGCACATTCAATTAGCCTTGGTATTTCTTATGCTGTGTTCATCCACCATGGAGGGAATTTGGTCAGCTTCACCTGTTCTATGAAGACTGGCAACCCATGTTTGTTTGTTTTAATCTACTTCTAAGCAATGATACATCTTCCCTAAAAATAGTCTCACACCTGCCAGGGAGACCCGGTTATGTAATCAGCTTTATTCAGGATATGAGACACAAACAGGATATGCACTGGACAGAAGTGAGGGATCCCAGATTCACACGGCAGCTTCCCAAGTGTACCTGGAGAAAGAAAGTATGATTGCTGCTCCCAACTCTGCTGCCTTGTTGATATGTGAGCTTAACAGGGTAGAGTAATTATTCTCCCCGATTCACATTCTCTTGTTACTCTCAAGGTTTTAAAACGGAGTTCAGAAGGTCAAGTTGACAACTGAGAAGTGACAGACCTTAAATGAATTGAACATGAAATCAACGCTTGTTCTTTTTTTTTCTTTTTAACGTATGTATCTTAACGCAAGTCACTTTAGATTTTTTCCTTTTTTACAACAAGGCTGGGAATCAAATAAGTAGATTGAAAGATCTAAAATGTAAATAATGGCTTTGTGCAAGAATCCTACTTGCCAACTATACTGTCACTTTCTACTGGACAAAAATTATTTCTTCATTTATTTTATATTCCAGTCTTTAGCGCTACGCTCTTGAATTCCACAGTTACATTTGGCTTTTGAGCTCTTGAAATGTGGCTAATCAAACTGAGATGTGCTATAATGGTAAAGTGCACACCAAACTTCAGAGAATTAGAAGGAAAATATAATAAATTGCATTAATGATTTTTATATTGATAATATGTTAAAATGATAATATTTTGATACAGTAGGTTAAACAAGATATATTATTAATTTCACTTCTTTTTACTTTTTGTAATGTAGCTACTGAAATATTATAAATTATATACGTGATTCACAGTGTATTTCTATTGGACAACACTGCCTTAGAATAAAATACCATCACTGTATCCTACTAAATGCTCATAAAAAAGAAGAACAATAGCCCCATTCCAGTAAGGAGGAGGGAAGCTAGCCCAGTAGATCTCACCAACAGTTCTCTTGTTTAGGAAAAGCAAAAACCTCAACAAAATGAACATCACCCTTTTCTTGACTTCTTACCACTTTTTACCCTTCACAAACCTTAATAAGTCAGTCATTCTGTTCAGTTTTTGTTTCTTACGCTTGCCAGATCAGAGAATGACCAATATCCCCCCTTTATCTCCTACACCTCGGGCACTACATCATGTTCTTTGGCTATGCCCATCATTTCCAAGAATTCTCTCTGAATTCTAATACCAATGCAATCACTGGTTTCCAAAAGTAAAGCTTGTTCTAGCACACTACATCATTGTCTATGATGCCACTCAACCACCCATGCTGATAACCTCAGAGTTCATCAACAACATCTGAACTCCTTGACAACTCCCAAGGTCCTTGTCATCTTTTATTCCCATGAGAGTCCTCTTTATTTCACGTTACCTACATCTGAACTTACTTCTCACTCTTACTTCTCCTATTCTGATGCCTGCGTCACTTAATTCATACCAGGCCGTCTGTCTATTTCAGTTTCATTGGTCTCTCACCCCAGAAAGGACCTTGTGGCCCACCATTTGCACCATGCCTTTGTTAGCATAACAACTTAAGCCAACATTTATTGACACTGACATATACAACATTTTACACTTTATGTGGAATTTGGCACTCAGAAAAGTAAGAATTATTACCCTCATCTCCCACATGTAGAAGCTGGACCTGGAAGAGGTGAAGTACCTTAACCAAGGTCACATCACAGAAGCTGGATGTGAATCCTAACAGCCTGATGTCGGCTTGGACACTTAACAACTTGCCCTCTGGACACCCTGCCTTGCCCACATGGCCATTCCCCAATCTCAAGATACCACCATCACCTGTTTCTACTCCCAGACGTCCATGACCTGATGGGAGCAGTCATGAAATTACACAAGCTGGTTTCCCCTAGGAAGGAGGGTCCTATCTTGGTCCTCCTAACTTCTTAAGAATCCTCAACAGATTTCCCAGAGTACCTTTTACAAATCATTTCTGTTTATCCCAAGTCTCTTCGCTATTCTTGTCCCATTATTATCTTCATAATTTTTTCAACAGATATAAGCAACTATTTCCCAAAACTTCTATTCTGTTCAAGATGTTTCTTTACACGTCTTTGCCTTTTTACTCAGAAGTTCTGTCCTTTTCCATCTTGGGTCTAAATTAGCTCCACAACTTACTAAATATGTGACACTGGTCAAGCTTTTTTAACCATTTTATTCCTTAGTTACATCATCCAGCTGTTATGAAAATTACAGGAGATAATGTATGAAAAGTGCTGAGCAGGTTCCTAGTACACTGCAAGTATTCAGAACATCAGTTTGTTAATCTTCATTTCCGTTTCTCCTTGCCACTAGCATCTTCTCCTCTAATTAAAAACATGCTCTGGCTTGGCACCTGTAGGTCTGTGGCTAGGGTGGCAGCCACATACACCAGAGCTAGCGGGTTTGAATCCAGCCTGGGCTTGCCAAACAACAGTGACAACTACAACCTGAAAACAGCCGGACGTTGTGGAGGGCGCCTATAGTCCCAGCAACTTGGGAGGCTGAGGCAAGAGAATCGCTTAAGCCTAAAGTTGGAGGTTGCTGTGAGCATTGACGCCACAGCACTCTACCCAGGGCGACAGCTTGAGACACTGTCTCAAAACTAAATAAACAAATAAGTAAAATAAAATAAAAACTAAAAACATGCTCCAAATGGTCCTGTCCTCTAAGTATATGTAAAGAGCATTTTGTAGGCTTGTAGCCTTTTCATTTTGTTAATTTTTTTCCTTTGCTGTACAGAAGCTTTTTAGTTTGATGTAGTCTCATTTATTTATTTTTGCTTTTGTAGCCTGAAATTTTGGTAATATCCAAAAGAAAATCATTACCAAGGCCAACATCAAGGATATTTTCTCCTACGTTCTCTTCTAGGAATTTTACAGTTTCAGGTCTTACATTTGGGGTTTTTATCCATGTAGAGTGTACTTTTGTGTGTGGTCTAAGATAAGGATACAATTTCCTTCCTTTGCGGGTAGAAATCCAGTTCTCCCAGCATCATTTATTGAAGAGACTATCCTTTCCCCATTGTGTCTTCTTGGTGCCCTTGTCAAAAATTAGTTGACCACATGTGACCGGATTTATTTCTGGGCTCTCTATTCTATCCTAGTCATCTCTGTTTGCATTTCTATGCCAATGCCATACTGTTTTGGTTACTACAGTTTGTAATACTGTTTTAAACTAGGAAGCTATCAACTTTGTTTTTGTTTTTCTCAGTATTGCTTTGGTTATGGGGGGGATGGTGGAGTGTGCAGTTCCACGTGAATTATTGTTTTTCTATTTCTGTGAAGAATGTTGTTGGAATGTTGACAGGTTTTGTACTAAATCTATATATTGCTTTGAGTGGTATGGAGACTTTAACAATTATTAATTCTTTCAATCCTTGAACACAGGATATCTTCCTATTATTTGTACCTTCTTAAACTTTGTTCACCAATGTTTTATAGTTTTTGGTGTACATATCTTTTTATCACCTACATGCTATTGTAAATGGGATTTTTTTTCTTGCTTTCTTTTTCAGCTAGGCCATTATTTGTGTATAGAAATGCTACTGATTTTGTGGTTGATTTTGTCTGCTGAAATTTACTGTATTAATTTACGAGTTCTAACAGTTTTTTGTGGAATCGTTAGGGCTTTCTACTTAGAAGATTATAGAGGATGACATAATCCTTTATGTAGAAAACACAAATAGAGATCATTTTACTTCTTCCTTTCCAATTTGGTTGCCTTTTATGTTTTTTTCTTGTCTAATTGCTCTTGCTAGTACTTCAAGTACTATGCTGCATAAAAGTGGTGAAGGGGGGGAGGATGGGTGAAGAGAATGATATTGTGGGGATCACGTCTATAATTTATCCTATTTGGGTACGTGTGAATTTGTCTAAAGGTTGAATATAAATGTCTTAACATAACAATTATGAGAAAGGCATGATGGCTATGTTAGCTACTTGGAGGAGAGTTTTCCAAACTGCATATAGAAGTAACACACTGTATCCTATGAGAGAATTAATGTACACAATTATGATCTAATAAAAAACAAATTAAAAAAATGGTGAAAGGGTATTAATGCCTGTGCCAGATCTTAGTAGAAAAGTTTTCAGTTGTTCCCATAACATTGTTACGATGTTAGGGGTGGGTTTTTAATTAATGGCCTTTATTATATTAAGGAACTTTCCTTTTATACCTAAACTATTAAAGGTTTTAACAAGAAAGGATGCTGAACTTTGTCAAATGTTTTTCCTCTATCAAGTGAGATGATCATGTGTTTTTCATCTTGCATTCTGTTAATGTGATGTATCACATTGATTGATTTGGATATGTTTTTTTTTTTATTAAATCATAGCTGTGTACATTAATGCAATCATGGGCTACAATGTGCTGGTTTTACATACAATTTGAAATGTTATCATCAAACTGGTTAACATAGCCTTCACAGCATTTTCTTAATTATTGTGTTAAGATATTTATATTCTACACCTAGTAAATTTCACATGTACCCTTGATTTGGACATGTTAAACCAGCCCTGCACACCAAGGATAATTCTCACTTGGTCACAATGTATAATCTTGTTGATGTGTTGTTGAATGAGGTTTCCTAAAACTTTATGGAGGATTTCTGTATCAATGTTCATCAAAGACATTTGCCAATAGTTTTCTTTTTTTTTGAAGTATCTTTGTCTGTCTTAGGTATCAAGGTGTAATTCTGGCCTCAATGAATGTATTTGCAAGTATTCCCCTCTAGCTGTATTTTTGGGAGAGAGTTTAAGAAGTATTGGTACTAATTCTTTTTTAAATGTTTAGTAATTTAAATTCAGCCACAAGTCCCAGGCTATTCTACGTTGGAAGGATTTTAATCACTTCTTTAATCTCTTTGTGATTGGTCTGTTCAAACTTCCTGTTCTTCCTGACTCAATTTTGGTAGGTTATATTTTTTCTAGGAATTTATTCATCTACCCAAGATTTTCCAGTTTGTTGGCATATAATTGTTCATAAACTCATAGTGCTTTATGATGTCTTTTATTTATGAGGCATTTATTGTAACATCTCCACTTTCATTTCTGATTTTATTTATTTAAATCTTCTTTCTATTTTCTTAGTCCAACCAGGGGTTAGGTGATTTTATTTTTTCAACTAACTCTTGGTTTTATTGATTTTTTTTCCCCCATGGCTTTTTCTGTTCTCTATTTGACTTATTTCTGTTCTGATCTTCATTATTTCCTCCATTCTCCTCACTTGGGTTTAGATTTTTTTTAATTTTAAAATATTAAGGGGGTACAAAAGGTTTTCATTACATGGATCATCAATTTGTTTTTTAATTTCTAGGTCCTTGAGGTGTAATGTTAGACTATTTACTTGAGATCTTCTTCTTAATTTTAAAATATTAAGGGGATACAAATGGTTTTCATAACAAGGATCATTTCTGTATTGCTTGGGTCATGGCTATAGGTGTGTCTCTCATCCAAATAGTGCTCATTGTAACCATTAGGTAGGTTTTTGTTCCTCCTCTCTCTCCTTTCCCTCTGCTTGATTTCCACTGAATTTTCTTTCCTCTGTGTACATCTGTGCTCATCAGTTAGTTCTAATTTAATAATGAGTACATGTGGTAGTTCTCCTAGTCTCCAGTTCCATATAAATTGTTGCAAAAGGCATTAATTCATCTTGTTTGTGGCTGGGCTGGGTAGTATTCTATAGTATACATATACCATATCTTTTAATCCAGGCATTTATTCCTATAAATTTCCCTCTTAGAATTGCTTTTGCTGCATCCCAAGGGTTTTGACATGTTGTATTTCCATTGCCATGTCTGCAGATTGTTTGTATTTCCCCTTTGTCCTGTTGGACATATAATTTAATTTCCACATATTTGTATATTTTCCAAGATTCCTGTTTATTGATTTCTAGTTTCATGCTATTATGGTTGGAAAAATACTAGATATGATTTGAATCTTTTTGAATTCATGAAGACTTGTTTTATGGCCTAACATGATCTATCCTGGAGAATATTTCATGTGCACTAGAGAATTATGTATATCCTGCTGCCATTGGATAGAAAATTCTCTACATGTCTATTAGATCCATTTGGTCTCAAGTTCAGTTCAATTTAAGAACTTTCTTGTTAATTTTCTGTCTTATTAGTCTATTCATTGTTGAAAGTGGAGTATCTAAGTTTCCTGTTATTTTTGTATTGCTATCTATTTCTTCTTTCATGTCCATTAATATTCGCTTTTAACATTTAGGTGCTTTGATGTTGGGTACATACAAATTTATAATTGTTTTGTCTGCTTGGTAAATTGATCTCTTTGTCATTAAATAATGACCTTCTTTATCTCTTGCAACAGTTTTTGACTTGAAATCTGTTTATCTGTTATAAATGTAGCTACCCATGCTCTCTTTCGGTTACTCTTCAAATGGAATATATTCTCCTTTTAACTTTTGACCTATATGTGTTCTTAAAACTAAAATGGGTCTCTTGTAGACATTACATAATTGGATCTTTTGTTTTCATCCACTCAACCACTCTAAGTCTTTTACTGGGAACTTATAGTAATCCACTTAACATTCAAGGTGATTATTGATAGGTAATAATTACTCCTTCCATTTTAATTGTTTTCTGGTTGCTTTAGAAATTATTCATTCCTTTCTTCCTCTCCTGTTGTCTACTTTTGTGATTTGGTGATTTTCTGTAGTGTTAAGTTTGATTCCTTTCTCTTTTTTATTTGTGCATCTGTTGTAGTTTTTTATTATGATCGTTCTTTTTTGTAAACACTCAAAATGAATAAAGTTTATTGGTAGGATAATAAATAAAGTAGCTGCAAGGAGGGAAGCATAATAAACTTTCCCTTCAGAATGCACTATTTTGCCTAGAACCAGAAATAATTCATAATGCTAATTGTTGTTAGTTAAAATGCAGCTCCCACCCACATACACAAGCAGACTCAATGTTTTAGATTTTAAAAGATTTATGAGACTCAACAACCAAACACATGGTTCTGAGATGCCTCCTGGTTTGAATAAAACAACTGTAAATAACGTTTTGGGATCACAGGGAAAGTTTGACTAAAGATTGACTAAAGATAAAGATCATAATATTAAAGAATTATTCCTTTTATTAGGTATTTTAATGTAGTTATACAAGAATATGTCTTTATTTTTAAGAGATACATAACAAAGCTTATGTCCTCATGCTATATTTGCCTTAAAATTCTTTAGGAAAAAAATGATAAGTGAAATGGAAAAACTAGGTAATGGATACATGGTGCCAATTATTCTCCCTATTTTTATGAATGTTCAATTTTTTTTCAAGAAATTCACTATATACTTTCTCCCCCTCCAAAGAGTAAAATGCAATAAATATAGGGAAAAAAATGAAACAATTCTACGCTGTTCAGTGACAGAAAGTTAACACTGTAGGAAAGTGAGAGCTGAGACTTAAGCTAAAAATCACTTGTCTGACCCTGAATGGCTGTGTGGCCTTCAGCAATAACTTGGCTTCTCAGAGCTTCAATTTGTCCATTTGTAAAATGAGGGGAATGGTCTAAGTAACCTTCCAGGCATGTTTCAACTTTAAAATCAAAGTCCTTTTATATCAGATAAGTATCAACCATTAACCATTTCACTATGCTGAGGAATGCAGGAGAACAAGAGACCAGCCAAATGAGTCCAAGAGCTCATATGCCACTTCCTCGTCAGACCATTGTGGGCACCTCATAGGATTTTTCTGAGCCATTTCCTCTCAACCTTGCTTGTCTACCATCAGAGGGTCATTGTAAGACTATGATAATATAGGAGGAAATAAATCATCATTATAAAGGTATATTCTGAACCACATACCTCCATTGGCAACATTAAACTTCACTCCAAACTCCCCCCCTGGTCCTCCAGGGCAATGGCTGGCTGTTAGGATGATTCCACCAGCTGCCTTGATCTTTCTGATAATGCAGGAAACTGCAGGTGTTGACAAGATGCCATTCTGTCCAATAATAAGTCGTCCAATCTAGATCATCCAGGGGGAAAAAAAAGTCAATCTTCTTGCAAGGGACTGAAAGGATTTCAAGAGGAAAGTGTTCCAGGTTCTGTCTTGCCAAAAGGAAATGAATGAGCTTTAGTTTGGGGAGGAGGAACAGGAAGAGCTCTGGGATTCTCTCTCTTGCCCAACGTCTCCAAGACCATTTGGGGAAACCCCCTCTAGTAGTCAATGATTAGTAAGTAGATAGGATATGCCTCAGTGCTCTTCAGTAGTTTGAAACATCTGCTTTTGATGACCAAGGGGTTAGCCTGAACTGCCCAGGAAGCTTTTAATTTGGTACTGACTCAGAAACTATGAACTTGAGCATGCTAGAAATGACAAGAATATAGAAAAGAGTGCTTCTCTTCTTGCCCTGCTCTCTCAGCCTGGGAACAAACTCACAGAGCAGGGACCTGGTTTACTATAACTCACCATCAGCAGACACACTTTAACTATACTTTTCAGTAAATACTGCTCTCCTGAAGATAGGCATTCTATTTCTGCTGCTAAGTGACAGCAAGTGCTGAGAACATTGGAGAAATCATCTAGTCATTGCTAAGCCAAGATCCGGAGGTCCTCCATGGGTGTGGCCAGACTCCCTGTAGCTACAAAACTAACTTTGTAAAAAGACAGTAACATAATCCTGAAGAACATTACTCACTACACCTTTTTTAAAGTAGGGTTCCATATCATCCAATCCAGTAGTTTTTTTTAATATTTCCACAAATTAGAGTCACTTATGACGTTTTCAAAATCTCACTACTCAGACTACATTCTAGACTAATTATATTGCAATGTCTGGGGGCAAGATCCAGGCTTAGCAGCTTTTAAGTCTTCACGTGTGATTCCAATGTTCAGCCAGCTTTGGCAATCAAGCTGCCTTATTACTACTCCCAGTACGGGCACCATGGGCATCACCTACAACTTTGATAGAAATGTAGAACTTCAAAGCCCACCCAAGACCTACCAAATAAGAACCTTCATTTTAACAAGATCCCTTCTTTTCCTCTCAGATAATTCATTTGAGGAGTACTAATGTATCCCACAAGCCAAAAGAAGCTCTGGCATCTAGTCCAACAGCAAAGTTACCCTGGCACCAACATTGCTACAGGTTATCATGGGCCAGCTATAACAAGAGGGAAGATACAGAGGAAAAAAAGATATAGAAGACAGGTAAAGAGCCAACATGAGAATTCCAAAAGCAAGACAGTCTTAGGATGATTTAGTGTGGAAAGGCCCATACACCACATCCCCAGAGTGTATATTTCCAATAGAATAGACAAATTATTAGCAAATAAACACCAAAGTCCTCGTCAAGAGTCTACAAGGCCCTACATGATCTTACTCCTATCACCTGCCACTTCTCACCTTCCTTCTGTTCAGCCATAGTGGCTGGCTTGTTGTTTCTTCCTCAAACACACTAAACACGAATCTGCCTCAGTGACTTTGTATTTTCTCTCCCTCTGCTTAGAATATTCTTACCCAGGTATTCACATACCTGCTCCCCAGTTTCTGTTTCAGTGTTACCTAAGCAACAATAGCACCCTTGACGCCCTATATAATGCAGTACCCACAAGTCCATAACCTTCCTATTGTTCTCTATTTCCCTTAACTGCTATGATTTCCTTAGCACACATATCACCACCTAGTATTTTCCATGTTATTTATTTCCCCGCTGTATACAAGCCTCAAGGACTGTTTCAAAAACCTAGAACAAACCTGGCATGTGGTAAATGTACAACAGATAATTGCTGAATGAATTCCTGGAAAAAAATGAATGAATTATGAATGATTGCTGTATGTAAAATATATAGAAGAGTAACAAGATGAGAAGGAACAAGATCAGATGGGAGGCAGTCTTAGTGGAGTGTTGATAGTACCTAGGACTAGGATAGAGACCCCAGAAATGAAGGAGTATTATTCAACTTCACACAGATTTCTGGAAGGAGAATGAGCAGAATATACAGTGACTGGAATATGAAAAAGAGAAGCTGTAGTCACCAGCCTCAAAATAGCCCCAACCACTGTCTTCTGGCATTTGTGCCTTTGTGCAGTCCCCTCTCACACAGAACAGTGTAGATCTGGGCGACCAGTGTAATAGTGCAGAAGCATAGTGTGTGACTTCCAAGATGAGGCCACAAATGACATGGACACTTTTGCCTTGGTCTCTTAGACTGCTCATTCTGGGAGAGGCCAGCCACTATGTCATGAAGACACCCAGGAGCCCTGTAGAACCAAACCAAGGCTTCCCACCAACAGCCAGCACCACTTTGCCATGATGACTGAGCCATCTTGCAGTGAAGCCCCAGATACTTCAAGCCTTCATTGACAAAGCCCTATCAACGTGTGACTATGACCTCAAGAGAGTTCCTGAGCCAGAGAAACCCATCTCCTGTCTCCAACCTCACAAAAATTGTGAAATAATAAATATGTATTGCTGTTTTAAGCCACTAAGTTTTATGGTAATTTCTTATGTAGCAATAAATAACTACTACAGAAGCAATGAAGAAGGAATGAAAAATAACTCTCAGCTTTACAACTTCAATAGAGAGATCAAGAGAAGAACAACAAAGGACAATAATTACACTTATATTATTATCCAGAGCCATGATAAGTTCTTTTTCATATGCTCTTATTAAAATTTATATAGTCATTCAACCCATTTTATTGAGTGTCTACCATATTCCATAGCAATACAGAAGACCCTACTGATAAAGAAATGAATACAATGTAGTCAGTGCCCTCAAGTTATAAGCCCAGAGTTAAGAATCTGAAAAATATTTATAACTTTTCTTAATAATTTTCTATCTCTCCCATTTTTCAGAATTATTCTCAAAGAAATAATCTTTCAAAGGGGGGAAGAGATATTTATGTAGATACTTCCTGCGGTGGCCTTTACTTAAAAGATAAAAATATAAAAACAGTCTTTATAAACATCCAATAAAGAGATACTGTTAAATAAAGTGTGATGTATTGATTTACGGAATATCGCTCAGGCACTGACAGGGAAAATTATGAAGAGTGTATAGCAGCTCGGCGCCTATAGCTCAACCGGCTAAGGCGCCAGCCACGTACACCTAAGGTGGCGGGTTCGAATCCCCAGCCCGGACCCGCCAAACAACAATGACGGCTGCAACCAAAAAATAGCCAGGCGTTGTGGCGGGCGCCTGTGGTCCCAGCTACTTGGGAGGCGGAGGCAGGAGACTCGCTTGAGCCCAGGAGTTGGAGGTTGCTGTGAGCTGTAATGCCACGGCACTCTACCCAGGGGGACAGCTTGAGGCTCTGTCTCAAAAAAAAAAAAAAAAAAAAAAGAGTGTATAGCTGTGGCAGACTAGGGGAACAATTCACAAAAATGTATGATCCCCCTCCCACAGCACAGAGTTGCTGCAAAGGAAGAAATACCCAGCCAGGACTACGTAGTCCAGCCCACTCTGGCATCTAAGTATGGCCACATGATGCATTTGGACAATAGGTGAAAACTAGTATGAGGATGAGAACAAAAGTAATGTATGTTTCTTCTAGGCTGAGGATATTAGGAAGCACATATTTTTTTTCTACACTGTTTATTTCTCCTTCTGTGGTCTAAGTATATGTGACCATGTGCTCTAGGAGTTGCCAGAGCCACAAGATGAAAGGAACCTGGGTCGTGTCCCACTGGATATGCAAGAGTCTTTGCCTATCAGAAACATCTACACTGGACTATTACATGAGTGAGAAATAACCTGTATTGTATTTAAGGCAATAAAATTGCCTACATTTCAGGTTTATTTGTTAACAAAAAGCTGCATTTTTTAAGTGGTAGAAAAAGAAAAAAAAAACATGTTTAATGCTAAATCAAAAATTTAGAATACAAAATGATCTTATATTATTACAATAATGTAAAATTATGTATACTTTGGGGCAAGGACTTGGAAAAATACAGAAATAAACATGTGCAGTTTATTTGTTAGGTAGAAGAAACTGCAGATAATTTTCTTATTAAATTTTAAATTTTTGAAAAGGTAATATCCATTCTGTTTACGAAGGCTAAAATGAAGAATGATACCTTAGTAAAATTTTAGCCTGAAATATTTTACTTGAGAGTGGATAGGATGACCAGTTCTGTGGACACCAGTTAGCTTCTTTCTCCAGCCACTTCTGTTCTTATCCAGCGGGCTTATGAACAAAGTGGCCACGGTGACAGAAAAAGAAGTTATGCATGGGCTCAAAATCATGGACTTCTACTCACCAAGGCCAACCTGGCTATAGCCTCTGCTGACTGCCCATTTGCCAGCAGCAGAAACCAACACTGAGTCCCTATCTGGCATCATTCCCCAGGGCGATCAGCCAGACACCTGGTGGCAGGTGGATTCATTTGGACCAGTTCCACCATGGAAGCAGCAGTACTTTGTACTTATTAGAGAAGACACACAGGAGAAGAGGACATGAAGACAGATGCAGAGATTGGAGTGACCTAGTCACACACCAGGTGTCCAAGGAACGCCTGGAAGAGGCTGGAACAGGACTTCCCCTAGAGCACGTAGGGAGTGTGGCCCTGCCAACACCACATGACATCAACTTTTGGCCTCCTGAACTATGAAAGAATGAATGTCATTTGTTTGCAGCCACCAAATTTGTAGTAGTTTGGGAAGCCTTAGAAAACTAATATGAAATCTATAAATGAGTACAAAATTTGTATTAGTTTTCTAAGGTCGCCATAACAAATTGCTATAAACTTGGTAGTTAAAAGAAATAGAAATTTGTTCTCTCATAGTTCTAGAGGCCAAAAGGGCAAAACCAAGGTGTAGGCAGGGCCATAGTCCCTCTGCAGCTCTCAGGGAGGGTCCTCCCTCGCCACTTCACTTTCTGGTGGCCACGCACGTTCCTGGGCTTGTGTTTGTGCCACTCCAAGTTCCGCCTCTCCTCGTATCACTTTCTACATCTGTGCCTTCACCTCTTCTATTCATACCCCTTCTCCTAGTTATCCCTAAATAGATGTCATCAGAAAA